GTAAATATAAAAGTGAACATTGAAGTCAACATTTAGAGGATATATAATATATATATATATATATATATATATATATATATATATATATATATATATATATATATATATATATATATATGCACATATACCTGTATACAGATACTTAGCTTTTCATGCACTTGAAAAAAGGCTACACAAAACTAATTTCAAATTATTAGAAAAAAAATGACTTAATTTTGTATCATAATTATTATGATTAGATTATATAAAAAGTCAAAATTCTATAATTAATTGCAATCAACTTTGATAAATTTATTTTTTTTGTTCCAATGTTACTTTCTGCCATGAAACAAAATGAAAATCTCTTTGCTATTTTTTTACTTTTATTTACTTTTCTCTTCATTTTACGTTTCAGTTAAGAATTCAAAACTTGATTTTTTTTTTGTAATTGTGTTTTATTTTCTTCTCATTTCAATTTTTTGAAATTTTTTCTATTTAATCTACATTTCTGTTGCACACTGCAACATTTTTCCTACTTTCTTGTGCTTTGCACACAATTACACCACCAACCCCATTTCATATTTCTGTATTGTGCATGTGCATTGTGCATTGAATTTGCTTTTCTCTTGAATCTGTAACAATTTCTTTCTTTCTTCATCAATTTAGGCAGTTCCATCAGTTTTCTTCCCTGTTTTGCTCAATGAACCCCTCCCTACTTGCCTACATCTTTTCACCATACCAGCCAAGTCATTCAAAAATATTTAGCACACAAAGGTATACCTGCCAAATACTCATTTTTTTTTATGTTAACTCCAACAATAAAAATAAATCCCTTGTAATTGTTATAACTCACTCTCTAATTACAACTGACACTGATCCATAGCATTTCCACTAGTAAAGAGTCATAGTGGAATATTAATTTAAAATAAATCTGAAAATACATAGAACAAAAATCTAAAGACTTAACTTGAGTACTGAATATACAATATACTTTCTCTTTTTAAAGTATTGTTCTCTTAAGTGATTTATTTGTTAAATTTGTGTTCATTTCAAAGTTATACTCTATTATCAAGGTATATAAAGATAATGCATATGCCAGCATTCATTGTGTTGATATCTCTCTGTGGGAGAGAAAATACAAAATAATATCTTGTACAAGATAATCAAATCATCCCAGATTCTTCAAATTCTTTACAACACCTAACCTTTGTATCTCATGCCTAAGAAAGCATAAAACAAAACAGAAATCTGGTTTTGTTAATAGCTACATTAATCCCATAATGCAACAGGGGAAAGGAAAAATAATTTTTTTTCAAGAGAAAAGTTAAAATTTTTAACATAAACTAAATCAAATTTTGAGACAAAATATTGCTCTAAAATGTCATCTCATCTATATTTATGCAGTTGTACTTAACACTTGAAAATTTTTTTACAGTAAGGGTCACTCTGTACAAGGCTCAAGGGCCACTCGGGGTAGAGGGTTACACTAAAAGGTAGTTTATATGGATAGGAGGAGAAGATAACAGTTAACTCTAGACTTTAACAGGTTAAGATTGTAGTGATCGGGGAACATCCTCTTGGGAGTTTGTTCCACAGAACGTTGGTACACAGGAAGAAGCTGTTTGAGTGGAACTTTCTTCTTGCCAATAGAATACGGAGGAATCTAGGTAATATTTATTAGTATGCAGAAATAGACAGGGCTTTTGCTACAGGGATACAGGAGTAGGGCTAGTGACTGGGAGAAGCAACATGTTTATGGCACTGTCTTTTCTTGTCTGTGCCTGGCTTCAGTAAGGGTGGAGGATCTTCCACCACTGTTAAGATTGTCTGTTAATAACCTCTACTCCTCCTCCATTTGCAATACTGCAGGAGATGTTTCTTCTTGTTTCTCTTTCATGATACCCTTTGCTACATTGACCAAAGTCCTCATTAAATCAAAGTAAATTCTTTGGAAGTCAATGCCCTAATATTATGGCCTGACTCACACAATTGTGTTTTCAGCAGCAGATTAATAATAAAAAGTGTGTTCACTATGCATTTTCTTTCATCACTGAAAAGAAAAGAAAACGGTACTTTGATACCATTTAAAAATTTCAGACTTTTCTTAGCTAAGAATGTTTAAAGAGTTTATATTTTAAATTTGTAACAGAAGCACTTTTCTTTTTCATTTCTTTTTTGAAAAAAAATTCACCTGTCAGAAATAATCCATATCATGCATTGAAAGGCCTGCAAGTAAGTTTAGTTTGTTATGTCCGTCTAGACAAAGGACAAAATTAAATAAATAGAAAATAGAATGTTCTTGAAAATAGAATGTACAACTTGTAAGATCTTTGTAAATTCTTTGTAGGGCTTTGCAAAGTAGCCAATCCACATTTTATTTTCAAGCTTCAAAGTCTTTTCATAAATTCTTTGACCATTTCTGTCCCTTCATTTCTTTCTGGCATGAAGCCATTCTCTACTTGCTTTTTATTGATTTAATTCAGAACAGTCAATAGTTCAGTTCCAGAAATGGCCAAGTTGTCTATATCCACCAATATGCACACTTATGTGGCAAAATAAGAATAGGTCAGCTAGTGAGGCAGACAGTAAGCCAAAGGAATTAAAACAGGAGAGAAAATGTAGGGTGATGGATGACATGTCAGATGAAGGTGATGGTTGCTAAATGGGAGTGCTCTTCTTGTTCACTCTTTAAGAACTTGTGAAAGATTTATCCTCCTTATCGGCTCCAAAAATCTTACCATCTTGAATAAGGAAGAGATGATCATGAAGAAAAAGATAATTATCATCATTTGTTTTTTTTATATGGATTTCTTCATTATTTAAAAAAAAAGTTTAGTGTCTAGACATTAAAGATTCAACTGTGTCCATTAGAATTAGATCAGCAACTTTTTACATTGTTTGGACTATCATCCTCATCTTTGTGGCCATATTTATCATAACGTTTCGGCCATTGTATACTCCAGCCTTCTTCAAGTGATTGGAATGTCAAACTGAACTCTGTATTTTGCTCGCTGGGGTAGATAGTTCTTGTTCCATGTGCCATGTTTAATGGATGTCAGTTATCAGTTATCTCCTGTTAATTCCTCTCTCTAAGTTCTCCAATGCCTTAACCAGGTATTGAACTCACAACTCTTTGGGTCCTGTCACTGGATCTAACTAACACCTTTATCCACTGTGCCATGTGTCCTTGAGGACAAGATTTTTGTATAAGATAAATGTTCCAATCATTGACACTACATCTAGGTTCAATGTGGTATCTGTGTACTCTGCTTAAGATAAAAGTGTTAATTCCTGGCTCTCTGCTTAAATTCAAGGTAGTATGTTTGTATTCTACCTAACTTAGAATATTTTGTTATGTTGTTCAAACAGAAGAACATTGGCATAATGGATATGTCACTTCCCTGGTTAGCTCCAGATTGGACATTTGAATCAAAATAGCATTTGTCATTTCATATAGTTTATATTTTGCATATTAGAAAAAAAAGGTACTGACAAAACAGAAATATTAAAGAATCAGCACATATGCTAGGCCACAAAAATCTCCTGAGCCGACCAAGCATAGAAATGAATACAATATGGGAACCAGTAATAAGGAGTGCCAGAGAAAAGCGATAATAACAACAAAATTGCAATATGAGCATTGGTAAAAAAGGTTGCTGATGAAATTAGGTTTATAATACCCAGAAATTCATCCACAGATGTCCTCAAGGACAAGGCATTAGTTACATCCAGAGACAGGACCCAAAGAGTGTGAGTTCAATACCCAGTTACAGCAGTGGAGAACTTGCAGAGGGGAATTAACAAGATATAACTGATAACTGACATCAATTAAATATGGCACGTGGAACTAGAACAGTCTACCCCAGTGAGCGAAATAAAGGGTTAAGTTCGACATTCCAACCACCTGAAGAAGGCTGGAGTATACAATGGCTGAAACGTTGTAATAAATATGGCGACAAAGATGAGGACAATAGTCCGAATAATGTAAATAGTGAAAACAGAAATATTTAAGGTATATTCTATAGATGCAAGATACCACGTTGGTATAAACAAATAATTAAAGATGCAACCTACTTGTATTATTATTTATTTATTATTATGCCTCTTGGAGAAGATAGGGCTGCAACAACACCTCTCCAATGGATGTGGCTCTCGGTAATCCTCTTCAGTTCGGACCATATCGTGCCGGCTGCTTTCACCTCTGCATCAAAACTTCTGCAACTAGTCTGTTTCGGTCAACGCCACTTTTCTCTTGTGGATTTTAGTCAAGGGCCTACCTGTTGACACTAAAATCAGGCTTGTGAACCTTCTTGTATAGGTTAATTAAATAGTTCTGATATCTATATGGAATATGGAAAATTTTAGTGATAAAAGGTTTTAAATATACTTTACTATTTTGGATTGTATTTAAGCCCCCAAAAATTACTTAGAAACCAAGAAAATAATTCCTATTAATTATAATCTGACTACTACTACAGCTTAAAACCATTCTCACATGGTATGTACAGCAAAGTGTCAAAATGAAATTAAATGAAGGCAATTTAACTTTAGAAACAATGTTAAAGATTCTTTAAAAGGCATAAAAATTTGGCTTGGACACATTGAAGTAGAAATTTCTAGTTTTATTTTTATAGAGAGCATTTTTAGAATAATCTAATTAAAGAGAAAGCTACAATTGCTAACATCACAGAAAATTTGCAATCACTAATGGGCGATAAAAAAAAATTTGGCCAGAAATCGGATTAAATTCTTGAAACTGAAAGTGAATTTTTAGTCAGGCTTGGTATCAAAACTGATAATAAAATTGTATTTGCTTTCTCCCAAAAGAATAAGGTATAAAGAAATAAAAATAAATTTCTTTTCAGTGAAAACTTTAAGCTTTCATATTTTCGTATTTGATCAAATTAGACTAATTGCTAGCATGCATAATTAATGTACACCATAATCGAAGTTAGTGACTGAAAAAAGTTAGCATTTATTGCAAGCAAAATTAATATTTCAAGCTTTGACATTAGTTTATAATGATATTCGCTGCTCTTAATGTGAATGCTGTTAAGCATTGGCACATTTCTTCTCTTCAGGCAAAAAAGTGTTTACTACAGAACGGTAAAGAACATTTTTTTTGCACAAGATGTGCAGCAAAAGAAATATCATGTCAATAATGAATGATAAAAATTGAACCATGTGTTGCAAAATCTGTCAAGTCAAAAGCTAATACATTTAAGAGCCCCAAAGATATTAAATAAAAAATCCTTTTCTTTCTGTCATATTTATTATATTAAATCTTATCTTATAAATACCATAAAAAATGATAAAAATATTTACATAGTTTTACAACTGCATTGCTTATAGTTTCTGCATGAATAATCTACAATTTTTGTCTATACACTTATCTCTATTGTTGCATGTCAGAAAGAAATCTGCATTTTAAATCATTAACAGTAAAGAACATATCCAAAGAAAGATAACAAGAAATAAAAAGGTATGTAACAGCAGCCTGATCTACCCTACTAGCTAATTAAATATGCCATTATGGCATGTTTCTTTACTTATATCAAGTAATGCTTCATTAAGAATGAAATATTTCATTATTAGGAAAGGGAGATCAGGTTGAATGACCAATAAATGTTACCTTTTGTTTTATAGCAGTAATCACCAAATGGTGGTCCACAGACCACTAGTGGTCCATACAAAATTTTTGATGGTCCACAGAAAAACTAGGACATTATTTCAAATTTTAGGAAACGTCAAATTTTTAATTTGTTTTATTTAAATAATTACACTATAACTTTGTTACCTTTAATGAGTGCATTTCATATTAATCCCTTGAGCCCTACGTTCCTGATCAATTTTAACCCTTCTGCCTGAACTCCTGAGTCAAAATTCACAAATAATTGGTATATAATGTTTCAGGGTAGATATAAAAATACTTACAAGTGTTTACCCACCGATCAACCAGTGGCTAGCCATTGTCATTTTTCTCATTACCCCATTTTCCCTACCACTGGTAAAGCTGTCTTGAGGACTTAAAGGGTTAATAAAATAAAAGTTTTCTGATTATTATTATTATTATTATTATTATTATATAAATGTATTTACCTTTTTTTCCTAAATTCATATTAGTGATCTGCCAAATTTAAAATTATACATTTAGTGATCCATGAAGTTCAAAAGGTTGGCAACCACTGCGTTATAGAATAGATACTTGTGTTTGTGCATAACCATTTAATTAATGTGGCGTACCTGTTATACAACTTAGTAATAGTTAGGGTTCTAAGCTTACAAGTTATTGGTGGTGAAGTTTTTCCTCTGCATATGCTATAAACCAGATTCTTAGTCTTTATCCTTTGAATCCATGAAATTTGGCCTTGATTTGATTCTTTTGGGAATTGATTTTACATTTGACTGTGGTTTCTTGTTCACTATTTCATATCAAATTTTTCCCACTTGGTGGATAAGGTGATTATTTTTTTGTTAATTTGAATTTGTGAAAATTCAGTCTGTATTTGTTAATTTTTCTGTTATTTATATACTAAAAAAAATAATTAAGTCCTAGTAAGGATATTTGTTTATCTGGAATATGTTGATCTCTACATTAATTTTTATGTCCTTTGAGCCACTGAATCTCCAACACTAACAATCAACAAACATGAATTTCTTACATTAGCCACACATGCACCACACTCTCTTGTAGGCTGATTTGTCATTTGCCAAAATTTAGGGCAATTTATACAATAATATATCAGCATATCATAAATAACTAAAATGATATTTTAATATAAAACAAATTTTAATAGAAATTAAATACAATATCAGACTCAATGCAAAGAAAGACTTAAAATTCTGAAAGCCATTATGTGTTTGTGATATATATATATATATATATATATATATATATATATATATATATCTGTATATAAAATTTATTCGAAAATTATAACATAAGCATGATATAACATCACTACAAAAATAGCCATTTTGTTTCAACACTTCTGGTGTCTTGTAAAGATATATATATATATATACATATATGTACCTATGTATAGATACTTGTATATAATATATATATATATATAGATACTTGTATATAATATATATATATATATATATATATATATATATATATATATATATATATATATATATATATGTGTGTGTATAAAAGTGGAAATTGAAAAAATAAATAATCAAAATCAAGTAAAATAAATTAATCCAAATAAATAAATATGGTAAATAATAAACAAATTAACAACTCACACCCACCAAAATAAGCATTAGAATAGAGTACTCTCAATGTAATAGACTATCTGCAATGCACCACTGACCCGTTTATATAAATAATTGAGAAAAAACACAATGCATGATTGCGTTTAGCATGAAACAGTCTGTCACCTCTGAATGTTGGCCTTGATTTTGACTTTTATATTTACATACACTCTGATATTGAGCACTTTATCCCATAAATATAGCATACCTTAAAACTATATTTCTTCATATATATATATATATATATATATATATATATATATGTATATATATATATATATATATATATATATATATATATATATATATATATATATATATATATGGCCTGACGATTGCATCTAGCATGAAAACAGCCTGTTGCCTCTAAGTGTTGACTTCAATGTTCACTTTTATATATATATATACGCTTTTTTTTTTTGCAAGCTTAACCTCAGCATATCTGTCTGAACTCACATTACCATCAACAAAAAAGAGGAAATATATCAAGGTGCTTCCAGAGGAAGCATCAGCAAAAATTTGTTACTCCCACTTCATTAGAGTTATTTCAAATACACACTGCAAATCAGTGGGATTTTTAGCATGGCTCCTTGTTTCCCAGCATGTTCATCTACCCAGGTACATTTGTAATTCTTCAATACTTACAAAGCCAACCTGTGGTCTTTACTGTAATTATGCAGAGCATGTCTATGTTGCAGTTCACCAGATCCAGATTTTTCCTTCTCCTATACTGGTTGCCAACTATGGCTAGAGAGTTCTCTTCTGCTCTGTTATTTAGCCCATACTAGGGTAGTAACATAAGATATTACAGGAGTGCTTTGGATTAATAGTGTTGTTCCTTCATTAAATGAAGAAGATGATAGAGGTATAGCTGCTGTTTTCATAGTTCTATGAAGCTATATGCAAAAACTCACACATGTATCTAAGGATGCATACATGCACTGAGATAAGCACATGCATATCAAGTGATGCACACTCATGTGCACTTTCAACTGCAAAGCTTTGATTGAATTAAATCAGTTGATCACAGTTGAATTTTGTCAGTTCAAATCAACTCAAACTTCTGTCATTTTTATAAAGACATCCATACATTCACGGATTTATACATCATGTGTATTTACAACAATCTATAAATTAGTTTCACTCAGGCAAGAAAAAAAATGAGATGTTCAATGCTCCAGTAACCTTAGGAGAAAAAGAGTGGAAATAAAATAATTAAAAATATTAAACAAATATTTGTTAGTTACTAAAAAAAAAAGAAGTTTTATCAACAATTGATTGTAGCTTTGTGGAATCTTTAATGTTCGCATTCTATCATCGCATTCACAAATGCTCACCAGGACTCATCACACAGAATGTCAAAGGAGGCAGAGAATCAGAGAAAATAATTTTTCATATTTTTTTTTTCTCTTTTTATTCATTTCTTGAAGGAATTTTGTTTATTTTGGTTAGTTTGAGTGTTTTTGATCCCCTAACAGCTTTGCCTGTGTCAGCTTTGGATCAAACTGTCATTTCCATCAAGATGAAAAATTTCATGATGTTTCTTGAAGGGATTCTGACTTTTCAAGAGCTACTTTAAGCGCTTGCTTTATAGGTCATGTGGTTCAGTGGTGGGATTTTGGAAGAATAAAGAAAGAAAAGATGAATCTTAACAAATATTGATGATTTCAATTCAGACAAGAAATGGAAGAAAGAAAACTCCAAGAAAGAAATAGAAAGAAAGATTTGTCTCAAAAGAACTCTGGTATTCGCATAATGGTTAGAGAGTGTAAAGAATTATCACTTCTAAAAATATTAATCTATTTTAAGAACTTGAAAAGGATTAGAATCCACATCTTCTTTATATAATTGTTATTCAGCTAAGACAATCTTCCTTTCTTTCAGAAAACATTCATCAGAGTCTTCAAGTTGGAATTATTCGTTAGATGTTATTGCCTTTAACTAAAGTCAAAGTTTATAGTGTATTCAGTAGGGATTGAACTCATTATCAATTTAGGAGAGTTATTTTTCTTGTCTAAATCAAAAATATAGTAAGATTTAAAAAAGGTGATTTCATGTTTTCATATGCAGAGAATCCACAAGTAGTAATTCTTCTTTCCAAAAGTTGTTCCTATCAAAAGCATTATTTTATAGATGTTTATTTATTCCAAGACATATTTTATATCATATATCTAAAGACTATGGTTCTACTGTATTATTTACTTATTTTTTACATTGGGCCTTTCTAGTCAATTTTCATCTTCAAAATTTTAAATGCAATGTCAATTGTTATCTTCTGTCTTCTTAATTCTTGTTCTTTTATTGTTCCCTCTTCTTAATAATGTTTTTCTTTTTCTTATATTCTTTTACACTCAGTAATCTCTTGTGTCTTAGTGGCATTACTGTACTGCTTGAGAATGACACCTCTTAAAATTAAGGAACTTATCTTATAACTTTTGTTTTCCTATCTCTCTGGAAATGGAAATAAATAGAGTAAAGTGTAGATGTTGGAATTAAGTCTATTAAGTATGGAAACATCTGTGAGACAAAACAGAAATAAAAATAGATGGCAAAGTTCAGCAAAATAGTAAAAATTTAAATGATGATCAACTTTCAAAATGTTGTAACTTAAGTGGATTTAAAGAACAAAAGTAAATCTGAAAAAAAAACTGATTGTAGAAAATAAATATTTAGTTAACAAAGAAAGTAAATATGATTTTATAAATATTTAAGGTCCTCCTATTCCTCTCTAACTCCTAATATTTTTCTGTTTTTCATGAAGAAAAGTTTTTAATTCTTCAAGAAACAGATTCAATTTAATACCAACAACAATGCCATTTCGTTCAGTATTTTCCTCACAAACGAGTAACAAGTGAAAAGGTTTCAGACACTTTACTTACTTTTCTGTCTTTATCTTTAATTGATTTAAAATGGCATCAAGTAGGCTAGAAAGCAAAGAGGCAGGATTATTTCTTCTTTTTTATCTTCAAGGATCATAAGATGTAATCCTCTTGAATTTAGGAAATTTTTTATTGTCTCCTTTTATTTGAGAAGAGGGAGGACATTTTTTTTATTTTGATAATGGGAGATTTTTGTTGAACTGACAAAACAAATTGATTTTTTAAAAAGAGGAATGGAACTAGGGGTGCGATGATAAAGAATGATTGTGCTGAACTATTGTAAAGTTGAATATAGTTGGTATGTTGATGGGTTTTTTGATTCAATTAATCATGCCAAGTAAAACATGATCGATTCAACTACAAGCTTCTGATTTGTGTGTATGTATAGACATATTGGTTATATACGTAAATGTATATGTAGGTATATATCAATAAGGAAATATGTATAAACAGAGATTGATAAATAAAAACATTTGTATAAAATATATAAGCATGCACACACATACACACAGAGACAAACACATATACACAAACACACACAAATATATATATATATATATATATATATATATATATATATATATATATATATATCTGATGCAATGAGAATGAAAATAATATATAAACTCTAATGGTCACAGCATATATTTCAAATGAGGGCTCAATACTGATAGTAGAGCAATAATTATTTACGATAATTTTATCATATAGACAAAAACAGTTTTTACAAAGATGCAACTCACAATTACAAAACCACATATACACAAACACACACAAATATATATATTATATTTATATATATATATATATATTATATATCAACTGATGCAATGAGAACCAAAAATGGTTATAAACTCTAATGGTACAGTAATATATTTCAAACATGAGAACATGATAGTGCAATAATTATTTAAATGACAAAAACAGCAACTAAACTTTGTTTTGCATCTTTATAGTGAGTAAACTGTTTTTGTCTATATGAAAAAAATTATAATACATATATATATATATATATATATATATATATATATATGAAGTACTTATTGAAAAGTGCTCAATATTGGTGATAGAGCTAACATATTCAGTTGTATGGATATGACTTTGTGACCCTGGGTTTCCTGCTTTTGCAATCATCAGACCTATTGTTCTGATAATCACAATACAATACTCGCCAGCAGCGTGAACTAGGTAAACCACTGCTAGTGGTAGACTACTTAGACAGCATATTACCCCCCACTTACCATAGTATCCAATGAATTTATGAGGATTGAGACATACCCATTAGTGTTCATAGGTAGAGTATATAACAATATCTTTATATCATATCATATCATATATATATATATATATATATATATACTCGATGGCATAGAGGTGTAATTTTTTTAATGTTGTAAGTTGATATTTAAACTGTTCATCGTGAAAGTTTTATGGAATTAAGTTTTGATGTAAGGATAATGAATCATTGTAAATAGAATCACTTAAGAGAAAATTGTCTAAATAAAACTATTTATCCTTCTCTTTCTCTTGACAGCCAATATGTTACTGTAATTGAAGCCTCAATATTATTGGTGTCTTCTTTTAATATTTGCTGACAATGACAACATACAGTTGATAAATTCCCTTCCATTCTTTCTTTCTCTGCCAACATGAAATATTGTCAGATGAATAGGAAGAGAGTCATTGGTCAGGTATCTAGTGTCAAGGTTGGAAGATGTTTCCTGCTTATATATATGTGTACATATATATATATATATATATATATATATATATATATATATTGACATTGACATCCGACCCCTCCCATCACTGCACTTGTGAATGGCTTCTCAAATTGTACTCACAAAATCAATAAACCATAAATCAATAATGGATACTCCATTCTTCTGAGCTGACTGTACCATTTTCATCAACGCATTCAACCAAGACTTTTCTTTATATTTTAATCAGCTTGTTACAAAATAACAATATTTGTATTATGTTTATTCATGAAATGGAAAAATTTTTGTCTCCTTCGTTGAGTGCTTAGACCATTTCCTCTCTTAAAGTGTCATCTCTTTACTTATATTTATATACATAAATATATGTATAGACACACACTCAAATCCATATAGATATTAGATGCTCCATTTTAGTGTGAAGCAATATTTATAGATAATGTAGCAAGGAATGAAATCACTATTAATGGCTTGTGTAACTTAAACACTAACAAGTCTATTTTCAAGCAGATTCTGTTTTGAAACCCTGAACACTTTACTCTATGCTCTTCAGTGTCACTCTTATCCTTCACATTTTAAAAGATTTGTTTTAGCATACCATACAGAATTGATAGTACTGTTTAACAGTGCATAAAGTAAAGGTAGCTTTGCACGATTCCACAAATGAAATTTTCAAGCTCGTTTTGCTGTAGTAAATAAGTTATTTTCTTAATTTTTCTCCATTCATATCTTTCTATCTATTCCTCTCCATTCCAATTTGCTCCCTCCCTCCCCCCTCTGTCTCTCTCTCTCTCTCTCTCTCTCTAGTTTTGTTTCTCTTAGACAGATTGTCAACCAAGACTATAGGACCCAGTCTGTCCTGCTATTGAGCCATAGCTGTGTGGAGGGTGAAAAGAGATAGCTTCATGCATGGATAATGGCTAAGAATGAGAAATATGAGTACCCAGTTTACCCACAAATACTTTAGGGATATATATATATATATATATATATATATATATATATATATATATATATATATATATATATGTGTGTGTGTGTGTGTGTATCATCTGCCAAAATAGCCTATTCCCCACATGAGGTAAAAAACAAATTTTCCTTGATTATTCATCATATTGCTCTGTACAAATAAAATACATCAAGCTCTCTTTTGGGAATCAATTTTAATATTTTTATATTACTAGAACCCACTTGGATTATACACCCATGGAACCTTTTTATATATATATATATATATATATATATATATATATATATATATATATATATATATATATATATATATATATATATATATATATATATGGATGCATGACTGATTGGTTACAATGAATATTCACTTTCTGACCATGAGACCATGTTTAGATTTCATCATAGTTTATTAAGGAGGTAATTTCTTGATGTTATCACCCCAAAAGGGAAATCCCAGCGTAAAGCACCTTTGGAATATAACTGAAAAGCACACCACAAGTTCCCCCAAGTCCTGTGATTGAAATTTGAAGGCTGTCAATTGTTGTGCTAGCATGAAGTCACAAGTCATTGTGACAAAGTCTTTGGGCTTTGTTCAAACTACTGATCCCGCCAGATTATGCACTTTATCCCAGAAGCTATAACTAAGGTCCACTCAGTATAAATGATGCAGTATAAACCACAGGTGGGCTCTGTCGCTGTGAAACAAATGTGCCTGAGCAGGTGGATATGCTTGGAAATGAGTAGCCAGCCATTATTATAATAATATAATGTTGCCACTCAATGCTGACCTCAATGTCCACCTTTTATATATATATATATATATATAGGCATGGTGGAGTAATGGATAGCGGCTTGGATTGAGGAATCAGAGAGCCGAGTTTGAATTCCAGTTGAATCCATTACATTCACTTACGTGTTAATACCCTTGGGAAAGTTATGAATCCTCTTCTTCTCCCTCCAGCTATGGGTAAAGAGCAGAACAGACTGGGTTCTTTAGCCTTGGAATAGCAACTGGTCTAGGAGAAGGACAACTCTGAATTCAAAACTTGCAGAGTGCTGTTTGGGGACCTTATGGCACTTAGTGCACCAGGTCTCTGTATTCGGCCCTTCAAAAAGTGTGGATGCTTTCTGCACAAAACCTTCACCACTATAAGCAAATCTCATATGCTGTTGTTGGGCTGTCGGTTTCCTAGGAACTGATTTGCTTAACTCTCATACGCTGTATTCAAAGGGGGAGAGTCGAGTATATATATATATATATATATATCATTTTTCATGTCTATCCCTATTTACAACAATGTATCTCAATCTGATCTAGATATTGTCATGAGTCCTATCATCCACTGGGTTGTATGGACATCACATGAACTGCAGCCATAGCAGCAGATGTGTGTCTATGGCAAGATAGCCTGACAGAACACATTCATCTTCAGGCAGGTTTGTTTGCAGTTTTTCTTCTCCAAAACCGATTGCCACCAGAGTCCAAACTCTTGAATATTTTTGTGAAAAACCTGATTTTTTTTATATAGCTTGTGTATAATATGACCCCAGCTTCTGAGCAATACTAGTAGCCCTACCATAGTCAAATATTGCAGTTACAGGTATCATCCTGGACATATTTTATAGCAAATCAATGGTCTTCATTCATTTTTAGATACTATACTTTTGTTTTCATTCCAGCCTGATATCTAACCTCTTCAAAAAAATTACCTGTGTATAGTGCGACCCTATATTTTTTACATTTTACAAAAAACTGATCATAAAATTTCACACTGTACTTGAGTACATATGGTATTTAAACACAGGAAATTTACCCTCAAACAAAATTAATATTAAAAATATCTGAGAAGTGTATTAAAAGAAAAAAGAATTGAAGAAAGAAACTGAAGAGGAAATATTGCAGAAGATTAAACTGGTACGCAGTTGGGATGGTAGGGAAAGTTGAAAGCAAAATGAAATGCAGATGCATAAGTAATGGAAGAAAAATTAAATAAGCAATAAGCACTGACAAACAAGATTATGTTTTTATGAGGTTGTTTTTTTTTCCAGAAAATGTAGAAAATTTGTTTTATGTCAAACAGAAGAAACAATGACAAAAACCTTTTATGAAGCTAAACAGAATTAAGCAAGAAATAAAAGAAAGGAAATAGCATCTTCGTCTTTTCCATCCCCAGTTCTGAAACTGATTGAAGATGTTTTTCTTTTGAGAAGGAAAATGGGGAATATTATCTGGATTTTTGAATCCAACATGTGATTTATATCGATTCAGTGCCAAAAAATTGCTTGTATTCAGAATCAAAATTAAATCAGTTTAATATACACCTACTGCTTTGCTTTGTAGCCTCAGGGTTTTATATATTTTTCATTTTTCTCTTCATTTTTCAAGATTTTGTTTATTATCATTTTCCCCCAGTGCAATAGTGTTTGATTTTAACATTTGAATATTAGTGATTTCAGGAAGCAAAGGAGATGAATAAATAAATGGTTTCTAAGCATCCATATTGTTTACATATTCCATATTGTTTACTATTTAACATTCTTTTTTTTTTCTCTCTTTTTTTTCTCCTTTCTTTTGACTGCTTTATTCATATCTAATCTTCTCTTTGTCTTCTTTTCAAAGTCTTCACTTTTCTATCTTTCTGGCCTTTTTTTCTATTGTTTTCTCTTTTGGTTTTCTAACCTTTTCTTTTCTTTCACTGTCATTTTCTCTTCTTATTATTTCTCATTCCACACTTTATTCTTTTTCTTCTTCCCTCTTTTTTTTTATCCCTTTCTTTTTATTCTTCTTACCCCACATTAATCCTCTTTCTTCTTGTCCTTCTTATCACCTTTTGCCCTTCTTAACCTTCTGCCTCTCCTTTCATCTTTTTCACAATTTTTCTTACTTTATTTTCTCTTCTTTATTGCTCTCTATTCTCCTTTTCATTTGTGACTTTTTCTTTTACATTTTACTTTCCTCTTTCTCTCTCTCTCTTCCCCCATCTCTCTCTCTCTCACACACACACACACACACACACATATGCACAAATACTCTTTTTCTTTCCCTTTCTTTACATGATTCATTTTTCTCTTCCAAGTTCCCTATTTTTTTTCTCTACACTTTTCCTTACTTCTGTCACTTTCCATTTTATCCTTCCTTAACAAATGAATTCACTTTCATCTCGATAAAATATTGCAACAGATCCTCTTTATAATCTTCCTTACTTGATCGCCTGATATTTGTTTTTGCTTTTTATTGTTTAAACTTTTTTCTTTTGTATTCAACACTCAATGACATTCATCTTGATAAGACATTTTCACTTCTTGCTAAATATTTCTTATTGGATTATTATTCTTAACTTTCAAGGTATTTATTTCTGTCTTATATTTGCAATATAACTTCATATTTTATAGCATTTCTTGCTTATTATTTTATACACCCTTTATTATTTATTTTTAACATTTTAAGCTTTTTATTGAAATCATCAGTTTTAAAATGAATACAGTCTTAATTTTTAAGTAATTCTGTATTTGTCATTTATTCAAACCATACTTCACTCGGAATTTTAGATTTTATCTTCAAATTCTCTTGTGCCTGAATCTTTACTTTCTTATTCTTGATATTCCAAGATATTTGCTTCCAGCTTTTTAATAACATTTCCTCATTTTATTTACCTTTTTTATTCCTTTTCTTTTTCAGTTTTTCTTTTCTTTGGTAATCATTTAATTTGTTCTTCATTAGACTATCATATCTTTTATTTTTTTTCTTTCTTTTACTTCATTTTTATTAATATTTTACTTTTTCCATCCCATTATCAATCTCTACCCTTTTTGCTGCTCCTTTTCATTCTTTTGCTTTTCTCATTCTTTTCATTTTCCATTCTTTTAGGGGTTTTTTGTTCTTTTTGGTTTTGTCATTCTTTTCTTTCTCCATCTTTTTCTCTTTTCATTCTTTATATTTATTCAATTATTTCTCTTATCGTTCTCCATTTTTACTTTCCTTTCTTCTTTCCTTTCTTTCTTTTTTAAAATCTCTTTCTTTTCTCCTTTTACATTCAGACTATTGCCCTCATCTTTGTTGTTGTTATCACAACATTTTGTCTGTTGTGCCCTCTGACCTTCTTCCATTGTATATCTATCTGGGTAACCTACAGACAATTCTGAACTGAACACTTTATTTAATCTATGAGGTAGACTGTTTTCCTTCCACTGCTCATGTCTAGGGATATTTATAGTAATGCTCAGTTATTGTTCACCCTGTTTCCACTAAGTCCAAACACACACTGCCCAGCCCAGGGATTGAACTCACAATAACTATGTACCAACATTTTGATCCATTAGGCTATTATCCTGTTTGATGAAGGATAGAGGTTACAACAGCTGAAACATAGTGATAACAACAACAAAGATAAAGATAACAGTCTGCATGTCAATAATATAAATAATGATAACTCCTCATCCCAGAATTTCTGACACAAGTCTTTCTTTTCTGTTTTCTTTCTTTCCTGCTTTTAAATTTTATTGATGACCTTTTTTTTCCTAAGGAGAAGAGCAGTTTTTTCCAAAAATAACATGGCATTTTACATAATAAAGTTATATTAATCAACCTCAGCTCAGATTTTCCTGCTGCGTCATTACAATTTAGGAATAAAACACAAAGTACTAAACACTGATTTACTCTGTGACCTCAGGTTTATTGCTATAATCAAAATGTTTGGAGGCCTTGTTGTACCCTGCAGTAGAAGTCAGAGTAAATCAGTGAATAATATCTATAAGCCTTCATCTCAAAGATTTAAACAAAAATATAAATACAAGGTAATTTATATGCTTTAATGGGATTTATAAAAAGATTATTTATAGTATTAATCAACAGCTTATCTATTTATGATTTCATATCAACCTGATGATAAAAACTGGATTATCCTTAATTTTCAAGAACTTCACATAAGGCAAAAATTCCTTGGGAAAAATACCTCCTGTCTATCATATGATTATTATTTGGCTGACTATTTTATGCATCCATTTTACAATATCCTGGCTGTAGGAAAAATATGATTGTTTTTAGACAAATCCTGGTTACTATGAATATATTCTATAACCTTTAATTATTGGTACTTAGTGGTTTAATTTTCTATTCTAAAAGAATCATTAATGGGCATGTGAATAGTAAGGTAACTTACAAAGAGTTATTGTATCTACAGGAAATACGTAAGAAAAATGTCTAAAAATATCAAGGAAATAAAACTCAGGCAATTCAGGAAATTTAGTCTGTATTGGTCTCAAGAAATGTTGGATTTGCACCCAAAGAGTTATACCTAGGCTGCTGGTTGTGGTGCAGCATCTGTTATGGCTGTACAGTCCCACAGTGAATGCAATGAATGCATGTAAAGTTGTTCTCCCTGAGGTAGTTTTGTTTCTTTCCTTGCTCCAGCATAAATCATGTCTCCAGTGTAAGCAATTGTTGGCAATGTCTTCCCACCTCTCAATGTCCATGTCCATTATCCTCATGTCCCTTTTGAATTTGGTCTACAGATAAAATAATGATGTTGTCTGAAATCTTGAGATGAATATTCAGGCAATCCAGAGGCCGTTTTCAGCCAAATATCTTTCAGTCAGATTTTCATTTTCTACACATTTCTTAAAGAAGAAAATTACTGGATGCAAGATTCAGCCTTGATTTCTTTTAAAATAATGAATGGCAGAGATGAACACTATTTACATTATTCAGACTATTGTCCTCATCTTTGTCACCATATTTATTACAACATTTCAGCTATTGTACACTCTGGCCTTCTTCAGGTCGAACTGAACCCTTTATTTCGCTCACTGGGGTAGACTGTTCTAGTTCCACGTGCCATGTTTTATTGGATGTCAGTTGTCAGTTATCTCCTGTTAATTCCCCTCTCCAAGTTCTCCACCACTTAACTGGGTATTGAACACTCTTTGGGTCCTGGCACTGGATCTAACTAACGCCTTTATCTATGTGTCCTTGAAGACATCTGTGTATGAATTTCTGGGTATTATAAACCTAATGTCTTCAGCCATCATTTTTTTACCAGTGCTCATATTGCAATTTTTTGCTGTTATCATTGCATGTTTTTTTTGGCAATTTTTGTTGTTGTTATCGCTTTTCTCTGGCACTCCTTATTACTGATTCCCATATTGTATTCATTTCTATGCTTGGTTGGCTCAGGAGATTTTTGTGGTCTAGCATATGTGCTGATATGGCAGTGATGAAGTACTGAATAACAAATTTTAATTCATTTAGATGAAGCATTGTTAATATTATTAATTTCTTACTAGTATTTTTGAATAATAACAGATGGTAAGTATTTTAACAAAATTGAAGAGTGCAGCACCAAAGGTACATTGGGATAGTGAAAGATGCCTTCCAAAGCAAAGCAAAGTATTATAAAACAGAAAAATTTCATTAGAAACAAAGAAAAGAGTGTGGAACTGTTACATAATATCAGTCTTCTTATATGGCAATGAGTGCTGAACAATCAGCTCACAGATAAAGCAACAGAAATAAGGTTATACAGAAGGATGCTGAGAATACCATGGACCAAACATGTATGTCATGAGTCCTGTAATCCATTGGGATGTAAGGGCATCACATGTACTGCAGCCATAGCAGCAGAGGTGTCTCTATGGCATGATAGCCTAATGGAGACCATTCCTCTTCAGATTGGTTTTGTTTTCAGTTTTTCTTCTCCTAGACTGGTTGACACCAAAGAAAACAATTAGCTCTGTTATTTAATGCATAGCTAGGAGATGGAAAAGAGATGAATTCATAACTTTCCTAAGGACATTTGTAAAAAAATATGGACATAATAAACTCTGGAATTTGAACTCTGCACTCCAATCTTTTTTTTTTGAGTCCTGAATCATGGATCGTATATGTGCGCAACACCAAAGTTCTAGAGATAATGGTAACAAAAAGGACACTTATACTTAACATCAGAAATGGGTAGTTGAAATTTCTAGGGCAAATAATGAAGAAAGAAGGCTTGTAAAATCTGATACTCACAGAACAGATTGAAGGCAAGTAGGACAAAGGAAAACTGCATAAACCCCTGCCTAACGAGCTTGCGTAAATTGATAGTAGAACATAGTTTATATGATAGATAAACAAAAAGACAAAATTAAGTAAGAGCTACAAAGAACAGGAAGTTCAATTCTGGGAAGCCATGATTACCAACGTCCTGAAGAGACACAGCATATAGAAAAACAGAAATAAAATGAAAATACTAGTGAAAATTAATAACTAACAATGTCTTATCGAATAAATTCAAATAATATTACTCTGAACACTCCTGGTGTATAAGAAAACACTGAAAATGTTAGTATGATAAAATAATAAAAATAATAAAAGTGATAAAAACAAAAGCAAAAATAAACCCAATTAAATTGGCTAGACTACAAACAGAAACATAAAAAAAAAATTAATTACAATGTTTCGGCCGTTGTACGCTCTGGCCTTCTTCAGGTGGTTGGAGCTTACAACGGCCGAAATATTGTAATAAATATGGCGACGAAGATGAGGAAAATAGTCCAAATAATGTAAATAGTGTACATTATGTACATATTATCAATAGTGTACATTATGTACATATATATGTAAATAGGGTACATTATCTCAGAAATATAGACAAAACAAATTAAATTTTAAATTTTTTTAAAATTATAAATTTCAGTGTTTCCAAAATTTTCCATATTTCCTGTCTATTCATAATTATAATCAACATTTGCATTTTCCTATTTCCCCTCCACTCCATACACATATATAATTGCATCAACAAAAACATTACTTTAGTCCAATAAAGTCCTAAAAGATGGATCACATCACACAAAAAACTTTTTCTACTTTGTCATTAATTTTCCTATCATTGTTCTGATATAAAAAAAGATTTATATATCATCTTCTCCTATTGCTAGTGTATATAAGCAAAGAAAAGGTAACGGGTTAATTATAAAAAATTCAGTTTAGAAGATAGGAAAGTTGAATAGGTTACACTAGTGGTATTTTTTTTTTAAATCAACACACGTATATAGGTGAGTGAGATAGACTGATTGGAGAAATATTCCATGATTGCATTTTAGTAGATGAGAATTAGTCTTTCCTGCTAATTTTATCACTGACCAAAGTCATTTTAGTTGATGAAAGAACATTGATGTTGATGCTGATGGCCTGCTGTGGATGTCTATCACTAATGTTAACCTGGTTGGGTCTGCTTTTGTGGGTGATATTGGTGTTGGTTTTATAGTCAATTAGTGGCTCAGAAAAGTGTGTGGACTTTTCCTGATTGATATTTTATAAGCCTGTTATTTCTGGACAGTACTTTTGGAAGTGGATGTGCAGAGCTGATTGAAATAAAGGTCTGTTTTCTTCAATTAAACTGTGGATCTTGAAGTGAGTGCTTCTGTTTCAATTAAAGAATTGGAGTTCCAAGACTTTATGGCCTGATTGGTAAGACAACCGCTCTAAAAAGTCAAGTTTCCCAAGGAAAAGTGATATGAATTTTTCATTTCTGATCTCTGTTACTCAATAATTAACCTGAGATGAGGATTTAAGAGTTACAATAATAACAGCAGTATTAAAATAGAGAAATACAAATCAGAAATGAATAATAATTAAAAATAACTTGTATTAAGAATATTGGGTGTAGGGTTGAATAGTTAAAGCATTAGTGTTTCAACCATGTGACCCAAGGTCTCAATCTCCCCCTGGTTAATTAGTTAAGGTTACCTCTTGATAAAATCACCCTGGGAAGATGATCCCAGAATTGTGATACTGTTAGAAAGTGCTTGAAGCCATCAATGATTGTTCTAACACAGAGTTACAAGTCCTCACCTCATGGGCAGATAGAGGTTCTTTAGCCTTGGTTGGCAATCTATCTAAAGATGTTATCTTAGTGAAAACACCCAACCTCCAGTAACTTGGTGCCTCACAGAGATGTAATGGTTTCAAAATGATGGAAATTCTTAAAAGAGACAAAATAAGTCATATGAATTTGCAATCTTCCACAGGCAGAAATAGTGATGAAGAGCTTTAGTGCAAAGAAAAATTAAAACCATAATTATTTTAATTAATGTTTCATATTGATTTTATTATATATATATATATATATTGTTTCAAATATGCTGTTACAGTTTTTACTAAAAAAAACAATAATGGCTCATTTTCATTATTTCAGAGCTTGCATCTCAGGTTTTCATTTTCAATATTTTTACTTTCTTCTGATTAAAGTTTTTAATACTGAAACAAAAATTAAATATTTTATAATTTATATTTCAATCAATCATTGTTACAAAGTGTTTATATAACAAGATGGCATGATGGTTATTGATATAGAAAACAGAATTTACAAACTGATATGTCCCGGATATGTTTGAAGTAGCAAAGTGGTTTTGGACTATTGTAACCGAGTAGGACAATCTAGCAAATAATTGTAATGGACTGGTCCCACATCATAGTGGTAGCAATAGGCATAGCCAATAGGCATCGTCCCTGTACCTCCACATCAGCCTGTATTTATGGCTGACACCAGTCAATCATATTACTGTGAGGAGTAACCCAGGTGTATACATATTCATTACATCACAAACAAAGTTAAAATTCCAGTTAAGGCTGTTTATGTTCCCTTAGCACTAATGGCTTTGGAAAAGGTAGGCATTCTGTCCTATTGCCAGATATTTGTGTCACTTATAAAAGTGCCACATCTTGCCTAATGGAAGAAAAAGAAGTACACTTGAGAAAATTACCAATGAGGTATCAATAACTGTAAGGAGTTGTCTTAGCCATTGCTTATTTTGACAAGGTCTATCATATATCCCTTGATATCATGAGCAGAATTTGTCAAACAAATATGACAAAACTTATGTTGACACAGCAAATATTAAAAGGAAGTAAGCAGGTGCCACATATTTCCATCAGATATTTAACATGTGAATGAACAGAAACCATACAATGTTTATAATTTAAAAAGACATTTAATATCTATTTTCTGTCAGGAATTTTATACAATTAAATCTTATACTAAGCCAATTGCCTAGCCAATAAAATGAATTCATTTTCACTTCCCTCACATAAGAATTTGTAATAGCCTATTCTTGATGAGTGGTGTTCTTGATATAACAAATTAAGGATCATTCAAAATAAAAAATGAAAAAAAATCACCATAGCAACATTAGTGAATGAAAGGGAAATCTGATTTTTTTAACCACCAAATTTGAAGCTTAAACTTTATTTGAGCAATATTTACACTTGGTCTACATATAGAAAATCAAAGAGAAAGTTATATTCAGTGGTCAGTAATTAATGCAAGCATTACTAACAAAATAATAAAATCATATATATATATAAAATAATAAATATTATATATATATATATATAAGGGGCTGCTGAAAAATTCTCAGTACAACTAAGAAGGGATTTTTTATTCTGATTATTGGTCAATTGATCAGATTCTGTAAATTGATCAGACTAAGAAATTTCCAGCAATTTGTTGTATGTATGCATAAATATTTATTTAATTTATATATATATATATATATATATATATATATATATGCACATTTAATTGAATACGACAGACAAAGTGCTTCTATTTAGTTTTTCATACAATTTCTCATGCAGTCTATATATAAAGGTATAGCAGAATAAAAAGCATTCTCAGAATAAAAAGAACATTCAGATAGTTTTATATCATGAGAAATTGTATAAAAGACTAAATAAAAATATATATATATATATATATATACATATTCAATAAAATATATATGAAAGAATAATTACATACATAAATAGATACATATATATATATATATATATATATATATATATATATAATTATTTATTCAAAAATTATATAATTTTCAAATAAATAATTATATTTGCTCTACTCTAGGTATTGAGCACTCTTTTAAGAACAGTATTTGTTGGTTAATACATCCTATCTTATATATATATATATATATATATATATATATATATACAAACATATATTGTTAAATATAACATACAATGAATTTCTATTATGTTTGATTATGAGTAATTCTAACCTTTGTATTATTGCTTTAATTTCGGGTGATAATATATATATATATATATATATATATATATATATATATATATATATATATAAAAGAGAAGGAGGAGTAAGTTATGTGAATGATTTAGCAACAGTTCTTTATATACAAGAATTATTTTTTCTTGGAGAACCAAAGATTTTTATTCGGATATTTGTAAGTGATCAATGGTTTCTCTTCTAGAAAATATGACATTCCTAATATTGATCATTTTCTCTGGAAGGTGACAAGAGAATGTGAGAAAAAACCCTTTTGAATTTTGTTGAAAGTGTCTAAAGAGTGAACATACCAGTAGAATTACCAAAAGTTAAGCTTATTGTTTCTTTATTTATTCATAAGAGATTTTCTTTTCTTTTCATTTTTATTTTCAAAGCAACCTTGGCACCATTTTGTGACATTCACCCTTTTGGGGAGTGGAAGGGAAAGATTTTGAAAATTAGCTTCTATAGCATTTAACGCATTCCTTTCTTTTAAATTCCTTTAACCCAAAATAAAAGATTTTTTTTTTTTTTTTTAAATTTAAGAGCAGGAGAATTAGAAGACAGGGGAAGCTGAAAGCAGAACTTTTGCATTTATTTTTTTTAACCCTGGAAGCAAAAAATAAAATTAATTAAAAAAAGGAAGCAGAGTGATAAAATACAGGAAAAAATGAAGGGGGAAAATATTCAAACATGTTGAGGGTAGTTGGTGGAGGGTGGTTTACCTTGGGGATTCAATTTGATTCTTATGTCTTTCATTTTTTCTTTTTTTTTTTTCTTTTTTTGTGAATTTCTTTTCATGAGAGTGTTTAACTGACAAATATTTAAATATTGAGAAGCAAAGAACAGCGTAAAATTAATCAGGGAATTGTTTATTTATTGTTTCATTTTCTTTTCCACTGGGTTATGCTTTAAACCACCCACCTACACCCTTAAAATTCTGAGCCCCCCCCCTCCCAGTAAAAGAAAAAAAAAATCAATGCTCCGTGCCTGTCTTTATCTGTTGCTTCTGTTTCTCATCCTCATCTTTATTTCTCTTTTTTTTCTATATCTCTTTCTACTTTTTTGATTATTTCTAGAACCCCTCTTTCTCTCTCACTCCCTCTGCAACATTTTATCTACCACACTCTCTCTGCACATCTCTTTCTCTCTCTTAATTTCTCTCCTATTTCTCTAACTTACACTCTTCTTTCTTTTTCTCACATTCACCTACTCTTTCCATCTTTCTTTACTTTGCATTTTCTCTTCCTTTTTACTTCTCTCTCTCTCTGTCTGCTCCTCTCTCTCTATATACACCTCTTCTCCTGCTATCTCTCTATATTTTCTCTCTCTCTCCTTCTCTCTTTACTTTGCATTTTCTCTTCCTTTTTACTTCTCTCTCTCTCTCTGCTCCTCTCTTTCTATATACACCTCTTCTCCTGCTATCTCTCTATATTTTCTCTCTCTCTCCTTCTCTCTTTACTTTGCATTTTCTCTTCCTTTTTACTTCTCTCTCTCTCTGCCCCTCTCTCTATATATACACCTCTTCTCCTGCTATCTCTCTATATTTTCTCTCTCTCTCCTTCTCTCTTTACTTTGCATTTTCTCTTCTTTTTTTTCTCTCTCTCTCTCTGCCCTCTCTCTATATATACCTCTTCTCCTGCTATCTCTCTATATTTTCTCTCTCTCTCCTTCTCTCTCCAGATTGGTATTTTTCTCTCTATTTTCTTTATTGGTTGGGAGAGTAATTTGTTTTATTTAAATTATTTTCCATTTTCTTTTTTCCTGCCTCTTCTTCTCCTCTTCCTCTTTCTTCTCTTTATTCTTCTTCTCCTTTTTCTTCTTCTTTTTTATGCCATGTATTTTCAAAAAGTCTTACTTCAAAGAATTTAAAATATCTGCAAGTAAATGCTGATCTGAAAAGAAACAAAAAAAATCTCCAAACTACAGAGAAGGAAGTTTTATTTGTTAAATTGTATTAAAACTGGATTAATAAAAAAAGAAATAAACCTCTTCTCTTTTTTTTTTAATTTAAAAAATAAATTGTAGTTACACAAACACACACAGACACACATTTATATACTTAAATACCCACAGATCATAATCGACTCTGATAGAATTAATCTAAGTATGCAGCTCAGATAATAACCAATAATTCCTGCCATTTTTTGGTAATGACAGTTGAAATCATTGTGCATTCAAAAAGAACTGGAATCAATCTTTTAAGAATTAAGATTTTTCCGCTTTCTACCTGAAAATTTTCTCTCTTCTTTCTTCTTCTATTATATCACATATCTTACCTGCCTTTTCCATCTTGTCTTTGAACTTCATTTTATTTAATTTTGTTTTCCTTGTTTTTCTTTGTTTTACTCTTAAAAGATTTTGTTCCTTCATCCACCTTTCCAATTAGAATTATTCCACTTGGGTTTTTACTTTTTTCTTTTTATCTTCTCTTTCTTTCTTTCATTTCTTTTCATCCTTTTACTATTATCCCCTCCCTTTCTAAACTTCATTCTCTTTTCTTTCTTCTCCTCTTTTATTTTTACTTTACTTTCTTTTTTCTTTTCTTTCCTTCTACTTTCACATTATCCATTTCTCCTCTACCTTCTCTTTTTACTTTCTTTTCATTTTCTTCTCTTTTCCAATTGTTTTGTCTCTACATTTTCTCCTTTTTATATTACCTTTCTTTTTTCCTCTTTCATTTTCCAGTTATTTCTCTTCTTTTTTCCCTTTTTATCTTCCTCTTTCATTCTCCAACTATTTGGATATAAACTTTTCTTTCTTTCTCTTTTTCTTTTTCTACTTTTATTTTCCGGCTATTTTTTTCTCAACCTTTCTTTCTTGCTTTTTCTCTTTCTTCTTCACTTTCTTTTTCCTCTAACATTTCTTTTTTCCTTTTTCTCTTTCTCCATTTTTCTTATCAAGCTCTCTTCTACCTTCCTTCTATCTTCTTCTCTTTCTTTTTCTTTATCTTTATCCTCTTCTTTTGATTTTCCAACTTTTCTTTCACTACCATTTTCTTTCTTCCTCCCTTTTTGCTCTTCTTTCATTTCTTTTTATTTCTCTACTTTCCTTCATTTTTCCTTTCTCCTCTATGTTTTCTTTCTTTCTTTTCTCTTCTTTCCTTCATTTTTTCCTTTCTCCTCTATGCTTTCTTTCTTTCTTTTCTCTTCTTTCCTTCACTTTTCCTTTCTCCTCTATGCTTTCTTTCTTTCTTTTCTTTTTTTCTTGATTATCTCAGCATTTTTTCTCCAATTTTTTCGGATGTTTTCAATTATTCAAGCTTATTTCTTTTCCTTGTATGTTTCTTTCTTCTCTTCATTGTTCTGACATTTCTTGTGTCAATCAGTTCTTCTTTATTCTGCTTCAATCACCCCCCCCATACCCATTCTTTTCCATTCCACTTCTTCCCCAAACCTCATACTCCCCCCTCACCTAGTTTTACCTCCCCACTCCCAAATTGTTTTTTTTTTTAATCTTCGGCTGCTATTTTTATTTTTCTTCTTTAGAAATTTTAAGAACAAATATTTCCATCAAAATTAAATCAACAATTTTTTGAGCTGCAAAAAGTGATTTTAATTTCATTCTTCACAAAGCAAAAAGAAAATTGTAAAAAAGAAATTGCAAATTTTTTTCACACACTGTTAAACAAATTCTGTAAGCTTTTGGAATTCCTGAAATAAACAAATCTTTTAGTAAACCAGTTGTCATTTTTTATAACTTTAACTCACCAATTGTTTAACATATACTAAATTAAAATTTCTATTTCTGAAAGAAAATTTTCTAACTGATGGGATTTTCCTTAATTTTCTGAAGATAATGTTCCTTTGGTAAGAACTCCACTGTTTTTAACTTGAAATTGTTTGCCAATTTCAAATGCTTATATTTACGCTATTCACTTTATATTGTTCAAACCATTGTCCTCATCTTTATTGCCATAGTCACAACATTTTGGCTGTTGTACACTCTGGCCTTCTTCAAGTGATATATGTTGGAATTTCAATCCATACCCTTCATTTAGTCTATGGGGGTAGATTGTTCTAGTTCCATGTGCCATGTCTTTTCTGGATATCTCATGGTTCCCAAAAATTTCCTCAATGATGTCCCCAAAGACACATGTGGATAAAAGTGTTGGTCAAAGTAATCCAAAATGATTTGTGAGTTCAATACCTGGTCACAGCAGAGAAACTTAGAAAGTTGAGTTACTAAACGGGATTAACTGAAATTTCTTCTCCATCTGGGATGAAATGGTCCAGCCTTCATTGCCATATAGAAATACCAATATTACCTACCAGTTCAGCACCCTTTACTTTGTTTGCAATTAAATTTTACTATTTCTTTCATACTCTGATTATCTGTCATTAGTACACTAAATTGAAAGAGTTCATTTAATGAATTTTGTGATAGTATATATATATATATATATATATATATATATATATATATCACAAAATTCATTAAATAAACTATTTCAATTTAGTGTATATATATATATATATATATATATATATATACACACACACACTAAATTGAAATAGTTCATTTAATGTATATATATGTATATTAGATTGTGCAATATCTATATATTATATCATAAAGAGATAGTCATAAAAAGAATTAATCAGTAATGTTAATGTAATTAATGGCAAAATCTCCTCGCTAATAATATTTAACCATGAACACTAGCCATCAATTAAAGTTACACCACTACTAACCATGGGCATATCATACCCGATTTTGAAAATATCAAAAAAAAATATTAAATATAAATCTTTATTTGAAATATTTTACATGGAGGCACTTCAAACTTTGTACTGCACATTATATACCCTTTAATTATTTTGTTATGTTTATCACATCAAATCAGTAAGTGGACTCATATTTGTACATGTCGGGACATTAAAACAATATTGAAATAATCAATGCTGTGTTAAGCATTAATTCTCCAAAACCAAATTTCAGATGCTAGAACAATAGATTTTCTTCAAAATAAGTTCAACTTGGTAAACAAAGAAAATCCCAAAATGTGTCTTTGGTAGACCTATATGGTTGTCAGTGGAGTTCAACTTGAAGTTTCTGAAATCAAATTGATCTTAAACAGAATTGTTATTATCTATGTAGAAAGCATCCAAGATTTACAAAGCTGAACCCAAATATCATTTTTGCATTTGTGGAATGGAAAGTTTCTGCTTAGAAGACTGAATATTCAAGAGAACAGCTTTGGAACTGTTTTTCCTTAACTGAATTTGAGATAACAAACATCACCAATCTGGTACATAAAAGAAATCTTCAGATGTTTTGAGAGCAATATTCTTTTTATATTTACTAAGTCTCTATGGTACCTAGACTTTATGAATTTAAGCACAGTAATAGATTGATGGCAAGGTTTCATCCTTTTACAGCTGAAATTGCTAGATGTAACTGTCAGTTCAATGCTAACAGTTTCTTTAATCTAACTTCTCACTTATGGAACTCTCTTCTCTCACCCCTCTTCTCTCACCCCTCTTCTCTCACCCCTCTTCTCTCACCTCTCTTCTCTCACCCCTCTTCTCTCACCTCTCTTCTCTCACCCTCTTCTCTCACCCTCTTCTCTCCTCTCTTCTCTCACCCCTCTTCTCTCACCCCTCTTCTCTCACCCCTCTTCTCTCACCCCTCTTCTCTCACTCCTCTTCTCTCTTGCTTTCCAATCAAGTTTGATCTTCAAAAATTTAAATGCAATGTCAATCGAAATCTTCTGGCTTCCTGTTCTTTTATTGTTCTCTCTCTCTCTCTCTGTAACAATGTTTTTCTTTTTCTCATATTCTTTCACACTCAGTAACCTCCTGAATCTTAGTGACTTTATTGTATTTCTTGGGGTGAAATGATTAAACAAAACAAAATTTAAAAATAGGCTGATATTTGTACATGTTTGAACATAAAATGATATTGAAATAATAGATGTAAGCATTCTCTTTAACCACAAAAGAAATAATAGATTTTCTTAGAAATAGCCTTCATTGTTACAAGCTCAATGACCGAGACGAAGAAAGACACATTTTTAAATGAGACTGGTTTTCTGATCAGGTGCTATTGGATGTACACAGAGTAACTGGAAATGAAGAAATCAAAGAATGAAGAATTCTCAAATGAAATTTAAAGCATACAATTGGAAGCAAACAAATCATTATGAAAAATTTGGCAGAAACAACAAAATTAACCAATGAAAGGAACCCAGTGGTGAAAAAGAATTCACTAGCAATGGAAAAATTATCAGGAAAATTCATGAAGGGATTTCTAACACCCACTGCCGAAAAAAACAATCTGAAAGAAAAGAACAAACACACACACACTTACACTCACTCACCCACCCTCTCTCTCTCTCTCTCTCTCTCTCTCTCTACCTACCTACATACATACATACATACATACATACATACATACACAATGCCGCATTTTGTTTTTAATCTCAAGTGAAACACGTGTTGCATACATTAGTGATCTCTCAGTCCTTCATTACATTAGCTAGGAAGTTAACTATGTAGGGATACAAAAGGCAGTTATCTCCCTTTGGTGGAAATAAGTTACATGGGTCATGTGACGGCCGCATAGAAGACATCACTCTATACAGTGACGAAAGCGGTAGTCAATTTCCGTTGGTTTACGGTAGCCAAACTTAGAGTGCTTTCTGTAGGACAGGCTCCCTAAGTCTTGGGCAGAGGCTAAATCTGTCTCCCCAGCAACTTACAAGTCCATGATGCCGTTTCTCTTTGGGAATATATCTTTCCCAGATGAAGAAAGAAACACCAGCTCGCAGTCCTCAATTTAGGAAAACCCAAAACTCGCTGTTTCCCCGTTCGTGGAATATGTCCTCGCCTGGGACATAGTAGATGAATCCGGACCGTTTGAATCTGGAGTCCTAAATATTAGTATCTCTATATGTAAGACCCTTCCTTTTCGTTTCTATTTACTCTGTTTTGCTGTGTGGATATATACGATGTATTATTTTCTAAATGGGACACGTGTATATATGTATATATAGTTTTGTGTATGTCATAGTGGTCTAAAAGTGTTTCTTTTTCACTCAGCCATTCTGTTCCGTCCATGAAATACCGTGTTATTATATCACGGCTAGAATAATGCTTATAATGGGGGAAGTACAAATGAGAGAATAAATCTTTCTTCTATAGCAACCTCCCATTGCAACAACAAGCAAATACTAAAGGAGATGAAGATAAATCATGTGGGTCACATGACAAATGCTTATTGACGTCACTCCATACAGTGACCATAGCAGTAGTCAAATTTAGCTTGTTTTACAGCAGGCAAACAGAGAGCTTGCCTACTTCAGCTCTGGCACCTACGGCCCAGGCAAAGGCTAAATATGCTTCCCATGCAGCTTACAAGTCCATGGTGCTGTTTCACTTTCATAGAGAAAGAAAATATTTATCATTCCTTTTTCTTTCAGCCATACCGTCCTGTCCCTGAAATATCAGTGTTATTATATCACGGATGTGATAATGCCCATAATGGGGGAAATACAAATGGGAGAATAAATCTTTCTTTTATAGCTCTCTCCCGTTACAACCCCGCAATAAAAGCCATTTTTATTTTTATTTTATTTATTTTTATTTATTTATTTATTTTGTTCTTTCATTTATATTTAGGATTCCATCAATAAATTATTTAATTCTCAGATTCGTTTTCGGCATTTTTCTTGCACCTCATTTACAAATTATTGGATTTCTAATGAACTGCAATTCGCCGCAGCAGTAATTACTTGCTGTTGGTCATTTTTTTGTATCGTTTTGTATCAGAGCCGTTTTACACTTGATAATTTCTTCCTAAATCCTTTTGTTCAGCAATCTTTTGTACAAATGCTGGAGAGTTTTTTTTTCATCTAATGTTGTAAATCATTTAAACCAGAATCCTTGTATTCCATAATACCTTTTCAGTTTGTGGTCTTAGGCAGGTCCCTTTGTAAAGTCTATAGATTCAATTGTTATACCTATTATTAGTGGGAGAGTGACTTTTTTCTTTTATGCTTCTTCCCTTTCTCATAACTTTCTCCAGTAATTTTGAGTTTCTGGTGTGTGAGGTTTCTTTTTCATTTTTCTTTATTTGCCGATAAAATTAACTTTCGTCCGAAACACACGATTTTGTTAGAAAGTTTTTAAATTATTTTGGCCTATTTTAGCTTATCTGAAGGATGCTGAGGATACCGTGAATCGAACATGTGAGTAACGACGAAGTTTTGGATAAAATGGAAACAAAAAAGGAAACTAAAAATTAACATCGAGAAGATGTTTCTGGGGCATATAATGAAGGAGGGCCCGGAAAATCTGATACTCACG